AAAAGAGTGAGAAGAATTTAAGGGAAAAACCTCGGCTGAAAGGGCTGGCATGAAAATTGTTTTGGAGAAGAAAAACCTGTGACCAGCATAAAATACCGGAAACCAAGAGGGCCAGAGAAAGGCAGAGAAAGAGAGAACATAATGCCACTTAATTAGCGAACACAACACATACAACAACGTCGTTGGAAAACACATGCTTAATGCACATTAAGCCCAGAAAATAAAGTAAAGAAGAAGTAGAAAAAAAAAAGCAGAAAAACAATGGAAAATTCAAGTGAAATCGCGCGCGCAGAAAAATTTCGCCGCAAATCAAGAGCAACGAAAAAGTCAAGAAAAATTAAAAAACTGGCACACAGTCTGGGGTTTTCCTGGCCAGCAAGAGGGATAAGGATATATATGGAGAATGAGATGGCAAATGTGGGTCAACTACTGCGTTACCCATTATCCTCACACACAACCATATTCATACATTCATACACACACACACACTGTCGCAGACTCGGCTTTAATGTCATTTGCATTTTTTCCATAGCCTAGAAAAATGGGCAGCCAAGAGCGTATTCAGAATTTATTCCCTACTTTTACTTGATTTAATTGTCCATAAATATTTTCCCATTGCTTCTGCATGCAAATTAGGAGTGGCAATAAGGAAAATCTTTGATGCGCTGGAAAGCGACTCATGTGTGCCTGCCTTTCAGATGCAATTTAACTTGTATTTATAGTTGTGATTATCTTTCTTACGAAGAATAAGCAAAGATCATGAGAGGACCATGAAAAATGCTAATATTTGAAATAGATGGAGTGGAATAACTAAAGCTTGTATAAATGATTTCTATAAAGCACAATAATAACAATCATTATCTTGGTTTTGAGTCTAAAAAGTGAACATAACAAGGGAAAAAATGGTCGGAATATGGAATGTAATACCTCGTTGAGCTTGTATTTTCATCCCAAATCAAATTCTGTTAAAATTTGGAAAAATTATTTTTTGGTCATTTTTTGCAAAATTTGATGATGGTACCCCTTATCAAAAATGCGAAAATTGGCAAAAAATGGATTTTGCCCAATCAGCCCCAAATTTTTAGGGTTCTTAGAACTGATCGTTAGCTTCACAAAACAGTCGCCCTTTTAGCTGTAGGTCATGTTTAGACCAACTTATAGCTTGAAAACCGACAAAAAATATCTCAAATATTGAAAAAAAACACTTTTTACTGATTTTACGATAAAAAGCCAAAAAAACCTAGTCAAAAATGGCCGGAATATGGAATGTAATACCTCGTTGAGCTTGTATTTTGATCCTCAATAAAATTCTGTTGAAGTTTGGGAAAATAATTTTTTGGTCATTTTTTGCAAAAAATGATGATGGTACCCCTTATCAAAAATGCGAAAATTGGGTAAAAATTAATTTTTCGACAGCAGCCCCAAAATGAACAGGATAGTTAGACGGGGTCATTAGCTGCACAAAACAGTAGTTCTTTCGCCTGTGGGTCTTGTTTTGACCAAGTTATGGATATAAAACCGCATAAAGAGTCGTTTTCCTTCAACAATCCCAATAATAGTGCAAATATGGAGTGTCATACCTCTCTAAACTCCTTATCAAATTCTTAATTAAATGGCATTTTAATCTAAAAAAGAAGTTTTTATGCCATCTCTCCCAAAAATAGCCGATGATATGCTTACATTTGGCCTACAGATTTGTTTTTCAAATATATTTAGAAAATAACCCCAAATGGTATTTCTTCTTTACGTTTACCACTTTTTAGATAAAATAAATAAAAATCCAACAAATTGAAATTGCTAGTATTTATGTAGCATAAAAACCATTAAACGCCCGAAAACTCATGTTATTTTATATTCCTACTAAATAGAGTCGCCTCCGATCCAAAAAAGTATGCTACAATTAATGGCCTTAGCAAAAACTAAAATAAAACCGTCTAGCTTTCTATTGCAGACCCTTCATTTGCCATCCCCCCGTGGCACTGCAATAGAGTAGCATATTAAATGCAGTGACAAATTACACAAATTGCAAGTGCAACTGCAACTGCAACTGGAACTGCAACTGCAATACTGAAATGGCAATGGGAATGGTACTCTAAATTCGAAACTGCCAAATGCTGCAATTGCAACAAATTGCAAATGCATTTTAATTGCAAATCGCATCGTTTGCCACTGCAACAATTTACATTTACATTTTTTTTTTTTTTTTTTAGTTTTTGTTTGCTATATCGAAAAACGAAAACAAAACTAAATGGTAATGTAAAGTTTTAATGTTGCTGCCCCTTGGAAACCACCCCACCACCCCTAGTGGACAAGACTAACGAGCAACATTGTTGTTGATGACGACAATGATTAGATGCGATAATGCAAATGAGTCAACAGCGTCGAGTCCTTGGCTCCTCCTGTTGATGTTGATGATGATGATGACGATGACGTTGATGCTTCTGCGGCGGCTGCTAGCAACAAAAAATTTGCATTCCAATGATACATGTCCAGTAGATACAATGAAGGTCATAATAATAGAAGAAAAAGTTATGGATACAGATAAAGTTTAACAATTAACTAGTAGTATCTACCAAATTTCTATTAAAAATACTGAAGGATAACATAAAATATCAAATTAGAGTCGCAAAAATGTGGTTTAACCACCTTCGAGCGCCCTTAAAGACATCACCAAACTTCTTTGGCTTCCTTTGGTAGCCTTACTTTCATGACCGCAACTGTACACAATAATGCTGGTGGCGGTGCTGCCTGCTGCCTGCTGTCGTCCGTTGACAAAATGCCCACCACACTGACCAAAAATGCATACAACATGGCGCGGACAAAGGGCCAGAGACCCGATCCGCTGGCACTGGCTGTGGTTCCAGCTGCCCCATTTACCCCACTTTTTAAACCCTCTTGCTTAGAAGATGATTTTTAGTGCCTAAAAGTGCTTTAAGTTTGGAGAGAGAGCGCAGAAGGTTGATCAACTTTAGATATTAAAATAGTTTTTCTCTCCTTAAACCCTTTAAGAGATAACTCAAACAGTCTTTAATTTCCCTAAATAACCAAAAACAACTGCATTGCTGTCTCTGCCAAAGGGTTAATTTTAGTTTTTTTTGTTTTCGTTGCTAAATTATGTGCAGGCTGTTGCATAAAATGGTAATTTTTTAGACTCTATATGGGTTAGATTTTACCAGCCAGTCTTTCATTTGCATAATAACTCAGCCAATGGGCTGGTGGGTGGCCGCCCTTCTATTATTGCTGCCAACAATGAGAAATGGGAATTTAGTATTTAAATTTCGAAAGTCGTTGCCTTAAACTGTTGTCACAAAGCCCAATAGAAAAAGACCAACAACAACAAAAACCACAATAAATCGAGGGCATATGTTGTCGTCGGCCACCCACGTAATGACATTTTGATGGCATTTTTTATTTACATTTTAGTTTGAATTTTGGTTGCCAGCCAAAGTTTGCAAATGCAACTTGGTTTTTGGAGTTTAAATTCTAAGTTAAAGAAGTGTAAAATCTCTCTAGTGAGTGATTCTTGTTGGCCAATTAGCTAGCCAATTAGTGTAACCGGGCTAATAGAATTTTTGTGTTAATTCGTTTGCAGCTCGTTGCGTGTATATTCTTCACCCTTGCCTGCACTTGCCTAATGACTGATTTCGAAAGCTATTAAATGGCCACACAGGATGCAGACTGGGATACTGTCCTGGTCCAGGGACCTCTACTCATTCCCTGAACACCTCACATGCTCATCCCCCATTGGTCCCCATTGGTCAATACAGAAAGCGAAAAGTGAGTTATCAAGCAAGCACTTTTCTAATTACGAATTCGGTCAACGATTCTCGGGGACTGCTGGTTCATTTGACACTGAGAAAAAAGAAGTTTTATTAAAGATAAAATTGGTTAATTAAAAACCTTTTTTTAGTACTCAAATACTTTTCCTGCCTTTTAAGTTTTTTATTTACTTTAACTTGCCTTTAATCTTTTTCACTTCTTTAAACTAATTTTAGATTTTTTCGAGTGCCTTTTGGCAACTTCCATGCCGATTCTCTGGTCCCAAGTCCAAGTCTGACTCTGACGGCCTGTTGACTGCGAAAGGACATTTGGGAACAGGCTGCCAAAAAAGGGGGGTTGTTGGGCTGGGCAGGCTTTAGAGGCGGGGGATAACATTAGCCAGTGAAATTTCCCCAGGCCAATGTTGTTGTTGTTGTTGTTGTCTCTGCTGTTTGTGATGTTATGGATGCAACTTTAAATTGCTTTGCCAGCGCATAAGAGAGTGTGAGAGCGAGAGAGAGAGAGTTGGAGTTGAAGAGTTTTTCTAACAGTTTTCCACAGCCCCTGGAGGCCAACCCAACAATGCAGAGGATTGCCACATAGCATAGTCTGGTCCAGCCAGGGGTTATGGGTTTATGGTTAGAGGGGATGGTATAGGATGGGAGATCGAGTTTTGGGTTTTCGGTTCAGGAGGTTTTCCCTGATATTTTCATCGTCTGTCCCGGGTAACTCCGGTGGGAAATGCGCCACTGCACTGATTGCACTTTGGCTCAACATTTCACAGAGAAACGATAGAGAGAGAGAGTAAGAGTGGGAAAGAGAGAGCATGTCTGAGTGCGTAATGCATTTTCACGGACGACCCCACCAGTAGTGGCCATTGGGGATTGGGGATTGGGGATTGGGCAGCGGAGACAGCGGGACAGATATGGGTGATAAAGTGCAGACATTTGACAAATTAACTGCTTTGCGTCATGCGCCGGAAATGCTGCAAATCTCGTGCCGTCAATCGCCGTGCCTGTGCTGCTGCCTCTTCCCCATACCCACAGTCGATACCCAGGGATGCACTGCATCCGCTTCCAATCTGATTGATTTATGAAGCTAACCCAGGCACACAAACATCGGGCATTGGCAAACAGTATACCCCCCTTGTGAGGTGTGTGTTTTGATGTATTGCAAGGGAGAGAAACGAACCATCACCATTCCATAAAATAAATAATAAGAAAATTAAAGAAAACTCTTACTTGGTTGTGGTTAAAAGCGAGCGAAAGCACATCGTCACTTACCTAGAAAGAAATAATAAGAAAATAAAAATTAAATTAAGTTTGAAGTAAGGAAAAGTTTTACCCAAAAAAGGACACAACTTTCTATGTAAATAAAATTAAATAAAAAATACCAAAATTTCCTCTTTATTAAAAGAAAACTTTTAGCGCCCCCTCTGCCTTTGATATTCCTAAACATTTTCCTTTTTAATTGCTTAACAAAGTGAAATATATTTCCCGCCAAACAGAAAAGGGGGCCTCCAACCCCAACCAGCTGGCACCAGCTGCTTCCCCTTTTCCTCTTCATTTTCGCCTCCTGGGATAACATACATAAACATTAGCCAAAGCATATAATAACCCAGCAACAAAGTCACCACAGGGGGGTGGTGTTAGTGGGGGAAAAGGCGTTCAAATTGTATTTAGTCGTAAACTGCACACGCACACACACAAAGCGTGGCAAACTGCTTTGCCACAGGAAAGGGAAGTGGGGAAGCTGGCTCACAGAGAACATAAAACTATTGGCAACTGCTATGGCCAGGGGGAGGCCATATAAGAGCCATAATTTCGACACTAATGCCAAGCCACACAAAAAATAGCTCTCTCTTCGCCACGGCGACCTTGTGGGTCTGCAAATGGTCAGAGTTTGACATGTGTCAAAGAAAACCCTGATGGAGAGACTTTGCCCAGAAGGAGGGGGTGGGTTGGGTCAGAGGAGGCAGGCAGAGTAACACCTGCGACCTGAGGAAAGGAAAGTATATATAGAGAAAAAGGTTTTTCTTTAAGATAAGAAAAGTTTTTATGAGATATTTTTGATAAGTAAGAGCTTAAACTTATAGGTTTCAGTTTCATATTTTGGTAACTACAAAAATGTATCTTTTAGATACAAATAACTTGAAGTTTTAGCCAAAATTTTTGTTGGCAGTGCAACTGTATCTAGCAAGAACCTTTGGCCATGGTCGTGTCACGAACCTCGATAAAAATCAACAGTTTATGTGCGACGCATGATGTCCTTGAGTGTTGAGGAGTTGAGCTGAACTGAAAGGCCAAGGCACGAGGACACGATGGAAATGTCATTTTTACAAGGCAACCTCATCGAAAGGACATGGCAAACAGCAGTGCCAGCCAACCATCTCCCTAACCCGTATCTTTGCCTCTCCATAGAGAGTCTGGCCAAATGTATTGCCTTCTATTTGCATTTTCTATTTATTTCTTTATCCCTTTTCCTGGCTGTTTGCTACTCCCTTAGCGTTCCATCGCCAAGCACTTGAGCTCGGGCCCGCCATTAGTGGCACGTCCTTGGATATTTCGTGTTTGTCCTGTCCTCCTCCACTTTGGCACTCATATTTTATTAAGTAGCAAAGTTGACAAGGGATTTGCCAAAGACAGGCGGTTGGTCTTTGGAGGAGGATGGCGATGGGAGTTTGGTAGATGTTAGATGGTCGCCTGGTTTGCCAAGGGTCTGTCATTTTGTAAAGTAAATATTGGTAATTTTTATTGAGGATTTTCCTTGATTTCCCTTTGAGCATATGGCTTATCCCAAAACTGGTCACAAACTTTCCCTCCTCTCTTGCCACTACACCCCCAACCCAACCCTCCCTGACAACCAAAATTAAGGGCATTTATTCTTGGCCACTCGAACTTGTACCCGAATCAAACTCAAATAACATTAGGTTGTTGGGGTTGGGGTTAGCAGAGAGAAAGCCTAGCAACACACACTTGGAAATTAGAAAAGTACAAAAAAGAAAAAACGAAATCATGGCAGAGAAAATTATTAGAAAAGTTCGGGTTTTTTTTTGCGTCCCCCGAAAGAGAGGGCCAAAAACGAGACAGAGCGAGTGAGAACGAAAAACGCTTCGTTGCACAAATTTGTGGACCTGCGGCGCAAATTTGTACAAAATGCAACAGACCGTAAGAGACAACATAAGCGATAACACAACAACCAAGCCAAAACCCAAACCCAAACCCAGACCATTCAGGAAGCTGCCTCGAGTTGTGTTCACAGCGGTTGCTAACAGGATTTCTGCCCCCTAGCCCCCAAAGACCTTGGCAGCAGCAGCAATACCTCCCCCCCTCTGTGACGGTTACTATGGCGTTAGCTGAGACTGACTGAGGGCCAAGTGTCGATGCATGGCATACGCAAATTGCCAATCGTTAAGTGAATTTTGAGTTGCTGGTCCTTATTGGAAAAGGAGAATGCACTGAGAAAAGCTGAGTGAAAAGGCACTTAAACTCCGGGAAAAAACATTTAAAAATAGATTTATATTTCAGCCAATTCATGGCCCACACATATCCTTATTTATACCTGAAGATTTCCATTGAATGAAGGCTTTTAAGAAAATCTTTGAGAAATTTTCCTTTGGCCTCTCTCCACTCCCCCCATCAAGCTGAATTACATTTCATAAATGTCTCCCCAAGAAGCCTTTGGCATGCATCATTTAACTTTGACGCCAACCTGTCCAAACACTTAACTCCCCGCCTTCTCAGCCCGCCAATTTCCACGCTTAAAAGCAAGCTAAAGCAGCCACAGTAGTCGTAGTAGTAGAATCGAAGGGCCGGAAAATGCGGGCGGGATACGCACCATCATTTTACATTTTCATCGCTTACAAAAAAACGAGCGAGAAAAACGAAATGGTTATAAAATATTTAAAAATCATACCCAGGCGGGCAAACGAGCCTTGAAAATACACCTTAAGAAAGGGAAATTCATGAAAGGAGTGGAAAGATTTCGGCTCAAATATGCACAGCGATGGATGAAGCTTGGTTAGGGTGTGTGTGTGGAAAAATGGTGAAAAACTCTACTCGCATTCACATATGTTTGTCCCACAGAATGGAATATATATATATACATGATATCGTGTATATATCCTTGCCATATATATAAATAAAATACCATATTCCCTGACATGAATATTTAACAATGCAACAACGACAGCCAGAGCCTGCTGCATTGGTAAAATATCACAAAATATTCATTTCAATTTCATTTGCTTTTTTCGAACTACACGTTTACATTTTCATTTTTTATTTTATTTTCTCTCTCTCTTAGGGGGGAAAACCCCCATTTGTTTTGCATTTTAGTTTGGTTTTTTTCGGGTTGCTTTCTTTATTTAGTTATTTTTTGCAATTGAGGATTTTCTTTCTGCGCTGACAAACAATTCCTTTGGTTACCAATGTCCATTAGAAAATTATTTTGTTATTCGTTTGTTAACATCAAGGACAAGGAAAATTGTCAGCTATTTTATTGAGAGAGCATGTAAATTCGAAATGCTTTTTCCAACTCAAGTTTATTGAGTTTTAAATGGAAAATATTTCTCTTTTTAATAAGCAATTTGTGGGGTAGAGAAATCTTCTTTTTATTTAATTTAACTGCCTGTTGGAAATTCCGCGAATAATTCATACGAATGTGTCGACTTTCAGCGTTTTTCGACGCATAACAGCAGGGTAATCATGGAATTCCATGTCGCAGTAATTTCGCATGACAGATTAATAAGCCCCCCAACTCCCCCTTCTCTCCCATTTTGGGCAACAAAGAATTGACATTAAATTGTAATAAATAGGCAAACAAGAATCCTCTGGCCCACTTCATGGGGAAAGAACTCCCCCCCTCGCCAGCGAAAAAAGGAAACAAATTGCCATGGCAAACAGCGGGGGCAGCATCATCATCATGAAATGTGGCAGAGGGCAAAAAGACTGAGCAGCAGCAGCGTCTGCAGTTGAAACGAATTTAATTTTCTACTTTTTATTTTTATTTATTTTTTATTTCTTCTTCTTCTTTTTACGCGTCTGGCAGACACAAACAGAATAACAAGCCGCAAGCCTGAGGCTGACATTTCTCCTTAAGCCACCTTTTTACCCTCCTTAACTTACCTAGCTGCTGCTGCTTTTTCTTTTTGCTTTTCCCGCAGCTCTTACCCCAGGTTGGAAAATAGTGGAAACTTTTGATAATTACATTTGGCGGCTGTTGCTTTGGCAGCTAAGCCAAGTTCAAGAAAAAAAAAGAAAAGTAAGGAAAACCAAAAGGTAGTAGAGGAAAACCAACAGCCCAGGCGGGTTAAGAAGTTTAAGCAATATGGTTTAAGATTTTTGAGGTGTTGTTAAGTTAAAATTATTAAAAAATATTTCATTGCAGTTAAAGCTTTCTTAACTTTAAAAACAAGTAACTAACTTTGCTAACTGAAGTATCTTTTATTTAACCAAAGTATCTCCTTTTTTAGGCTTAAAACTCTCTGGCAAACTTTGGTGCTGAAAAGAATCTTGCCAGAAAGGCTAATCCACAAGTCATATAGAAACATCTTATGGATATTATTCAACATCCTTTCAGCCGCACATCCTTACAATCAGTAGGAAAAGTACGAGTAAGAGAGAAAGCTGCCAATTTTTTGTAAAGAAATTTATCTCCCACTCTTGGTTGGTGGAAATTTATTTCATTTTATGCTCGCGCTTCCTCTCTTTGTGCATAAAACATGGCAGGGCAAGGCAAAGTGGGAAAATGGGAAATCGGAGGGGATAGACAGAGCCACCTTCGGGCAATTTCTTAAACTAATTTGGCATGAGGCTGCCGCTGCCGCTGCCGCTGCTGTGGTGGCGGTATTTTCTTCATCTTCGTCTCTGGGAAAAACTTCAGCGTCGTCCTTGTCTTGGCGGCGGCGGTGTTTGTTCGCCTTTTACGTGCAACCAAAAGTATGCAAAGTGAAAGCGTTTACTGGCGGAACTTTTTGATGTTTTTTTTTCTTGTTGTTGTTGTAAGGACTCGGCGCCTTTGGGGCCCACAAAGTATGCAGCAATTATTTTATGGTCGAGCATCAATCGGTTTGGGGGCCATTTTAGTAATATCCGGCTTAAAAATTTCAATATAGTTTCAGCCCGAAAATCGAAGGATGAAGGCGAATAGAAGATAGGCCCAGGGGGAAGGAAAAACTCAAGGGGGGGACATAAAAGCATAGTTAATTGCTTTTTGCCAGGACAAAACAAGGAGGAGTTTTCCCATTACATCTACACAGATATATACAGATATCTAGTATGTA